GGGAGAGGATGGAGATACTCTTGGAAAGAGACCTTTTTTTTTGGTGTCCATGGGGAGGGAGAGGTGGGGCAGGGTAACGAGCCTTAAAAATAGATCGTTTGGATTATGTCATGTGGTTCTGTGGCGTATTTTCCTCAGCTGTCTGGAACTCTCTCCTGAGGAGTAGCACAGTGGCCACAGTGCAGGAGCTCAATAAGGAAAGTAGCAGGAGGTGTGGCGTCGAGGTTTGAACCCAGCACATCTCGCCCTACGCATGCAGGGCGAGGGTGAAACCATCAAGTTCTGGTGATTAAAAGCAGGGTTCACAGCGGGGACTGCCACAGAGGCTCATTTTCTCTTGGGCTTTGCAGCCTCAAGTACTGGAACCCAAATCAGCCCGGCAACTATCACAATCATGACTGCGTAGAACTTAAAGGTGATGGCTGAAAGGATTAATTTACAAACGGAAGAGGACCAAGAGATGGAGGGATGGGAGGATGAGGAAATAAAAATAAAAAGAATCAAGATGTGTTCTGTACATGTGCCAACCCCCAACGGTGAGTGTAATCATTAAGTATTGCAAACACATGCTGTAACTCATTACTCTCTTACTGGATTAAGAAATTCATTTTTTTCATCAAATATTTTTTTTTAAATTTTAAGTCTCTGAATGCCTTAGAAGAAAACACAAACCATACTTTTCATACTTAACTGGTTCAGACCCAAGACTTTGTTTGCCCCCTGCGCCTGTGTTATCCTCTGACCCTCAGCATGTGATGTTCTGCAGGTTCCCGGGTCCGACAACATCAGGATTGAGGCCGGTGGGTTTGTGATGATCGCGGTCTGGAACACTCCAGCACAGAACTCAGTAGTCTGCTTGCCTTCCCCGCGCTCCCAAACACATTTCAGATACACCTCCACCTCAAAGGCGACACACCCATGTGTGCACAGAGTCCTCCGGAGACAGCGGGACACCTAACCGTATCTCAGGTAAACGAGACGCTATTTACCAGCATCGCCCGGTTCAGAGCCCACGGAGCACCAGCTGCTTAGGTGGCAGTGGAAAAGAAACGCAACAGGCCCACGTGTGAGTTCACTACCCACCTTCTACTCCTGGTGACCCCAATATCACAGGTCCTGGAAAGAAAGGTTTTTCAATCTGAACAGGTTGACAGGGAGAAAGTTGGGGGGATTGTTTCTTCCTCTTTGGGTTTTGTTCTTATTGTGCTTGTATGTTCTCATTTTCTTTTCTTTTTTTTTTTCAGCTTTAATTGAGTTTATTGGTACATTTTAGGGATGCAGCCCAGTTACATTCATCGTTGGGATCTTGTACCTCTACATGACAAGTCTTGATTCTCATTTTTCCCCCCTTACCCCTGCCATCCCTTCACCCCCTCCTCCCCTCCCCATCTACAAACACTTTATTTCCATCTTTTCATTATTCTTATTTTCTTAATTTTATAGACACGCATTCACTTTTTAGTTAGAAGGATTTTTTAATTCTTTTTATCTTTGTCATTGTTGCGTCCTTTTTTTTTCTAATCTGGCTTATTCAATTCTTTGCTTTTCTGCGCGTTTCAGAATTTTTTATTTCTGCTTTATTAGTTTCACTCTTCTTAATCTTGAACCTCTTCATTTATTCTGTACTGTTTTCATCCCTTCTCTCTCTGTTAATAATGACAGTGTGATTATTGGTCTTACTTGGTCTTTACTGTACGTCAACATCTAGTTTTTGTTCATGGAGCAGCTGTTAAGGCAGCTTGTTTACATCTCTTTGAGTGGTCCCGGGAATAGACTCTGGTCACACAGAAGTCCCTCTGCGAAGGTAGAAAAATTACCCATCCCAACAAACATGCAAATCTTACACAGAAACAGAAACTATGAAAAAGGAGGCACCTGGCACTCTCCAAGTTTGTACTTCTTCAGGGACTGAATCCCAACATGAAATCTGATGACATGCCAAAGAATGTGACAGACTGATTTTTAAGAGTCTCGATCTCTTCGGTTTTTCTTCTTTCATACTCCCATTCCCCACCATCTCTGTCTTTACTGCTATAACCATTAGCATTTACTAATCTTTAGTTTTTTGTTTTCTGTACCGGTGATTAACTTGGGTCCTTGCGCTTGCAGGGCAGGCGGCGGCACCACAGAGCTGAATCCCCAGCCCTAATCTTTAGTTATTTAGCTCTATACTACTGTTGAATTCTTTCCTATTGTTAGCAGAGTATAGCTGTCACAGTTAGTACATATTTACTGTACGTCGATATTTGCTTTGTTTTAGTGTTTATACCATAATTACTGATCTCCTCTCTGTGGTTACGAGTGGCACCTTATTGGTTCTTACAGTAGGTCAATATCCAGTTTGGCTTTGGTGCTTTTATTGTTCTGATTTACTTGCTATTTCCAAGGTGGCATAGTTGTTGCCATTGATAGATTTTCTCTGTAGACTGATATCCAAATTACCTTTATGTCCTTAACAGAGCTGTGGTCCATTCCCAGAGAACTGGGTCCCTGGACGTATACTGCGTCCTCACCTCCCAAATTAAGAGGTGATCAGATCTTAAGATAGAAGCAAAGGCCTATGGTTACTTGTGCCCAGAGTACAACATTAAAAAGCAGACATACACTAAAAAGATTTCCATACTGGCAACAAAGTCTTTGCACTGTAAGCGCCTGGAAACTTTAGCACAAAACAAAAAATACGAACAGGAGAATACAAGGCAACAAAATGCCTCCAAAAACCCCCAGCTTCCCCGAAGCTGATTCGTGGATCATTGAGGGAGAGGAAATCAAAAGCTATGAAACTGAATTATTTGTAAAGACAGCAAGAGATTTTAAAACAGATCAATAAGATGCTCAAGGAAGAAAGAAATAATGAGCCAGGCCTGGTGGTGCACACCTGTCACCCCAGCACTCAGGAGGCTGAGGCAGGAGAATTGCCACAAGTTCAAGGCCAGCCTGGGCTACACAGTGAGTTCCACGTCAGTCTCAACTACATAGTGAGACCCTGTCTTAAAAAAACCAAAAAAAAAAGCAGCACTGATAGGAAACAGGAACGTAGATCTCTTGCACATGGGTAGGGGATCAAGAAATGGACAGAAGGTGTGGAGGGTAAGGGGACATAAAAAGTTTGAGATGTGCTGCCTACATGTACCAACTCCCCATGAGGAATGTGATCATTATGCACTGCAAGTGTGTGCTAATACAAATTTAAACTTTTAAGAAAAAATCATCATTGGCACGGTCCCCGTTTCCACCCCATCTCACTGCATAGCCGGTGAGCATTTGTGGACCCTGAATGAGAATGCCCTGCACTAGTTTTGCACCGCTGCACCAATCTGAAATTATTCGAAAAGTATTCAGAAAATGTATTTGTTATTCTAACAAAATGAACAAAATAAGGCCAAAAAATTCGCTCTGATAATGATTTACATGTGCATTTCCACGGTTCCACGGTTGGGGAGGCTCACGTTTTTCTTAGTGTCTTTAGCCTCTACAGACTGATGAGTTTCATCCTGACGATTTGTACATGCACACGACACACTTTTTAATAACCGCCCGCCATCGCCCCATCCTCACCTCTACCTTCACATGTTTTAGGGGGAGATTGAAGGTTTTCACGTGTTTCATATTCACGTCCCCTGTTACTCATCTGTGTGACACACACAAAATTCAAGGCACACGTCTTTAATTCTCAGCTCAGGATGTTTGCATCTGGACACGACAGGTGGCCAACAGACCATTTCCGGGGCACGGAGGCATTCTAGCACCCCCTGCTGGTCAGTCCCTACTCACTCCATCCGGGTGTCTCCCATTTCAAATTCTCATCAAAGATCAGTCCTAAGGAGACGTGGGAAGGGTAGGGGAAAGGAAATAAGGGAAAAGAAAAAAATGCGAGAAAAGGAAAAAAGTGGAAACAAAGTCTTTGTAAATAGGGGCGGGTGGAGGGGGTCAAGGGAGGACAGGAGTATGGGGAAAAAATGAGCACCAAGACCTGTCATGTAAAGGTACAAGATCCCAATGATGAAGGTACTGTACTATCTACCTAAAATGTACCAATATACTCAATGAGGAAAAAAAAAAAAAAGATCAGCTCTACCCATTCTTCAAATTGAGAGAAAGCAGAATCTTACCATGCATACACTTGATGCTTGGGTTCTTCCCCTCTTTTTGGAGATTCGTGCATTTTGTTGCCTATATCAGAGCGTCCCTTTTTCATTGCGTTGTACCGTTCCATTCTGTGAATATACTTCTCCACTCCCCTATGGCCATCGGGGGTTATTTCAATTTGAGACGATTCTCAATAGAGCGTGCAGGGGCCTTTTTGTCTCTTTCCTCAGGCTACGTGACTCAGTTCATTTCAGTGTGGACTGTTTACGACTTAGAAGCAAGACCCAAACATGCCCGCTCGCTTCCGTGGTTTTAGTTGAGTTGGTTTTTCAAACTAATTTTGGAAGGCACACAGCTGGGCGACTCACTGTTCTCTCTGGAATTCCTGAACTGTCTGGTACAAAACTTACTCTAGCAAATGCTTAGTGCCCTCTCGTTCACCTCTGCCTGCACCAGCGCCCACTTCCCCGTTTCTCTTCCTGAGTTAGAGTGGATTAGGAATGAGGAACTAGGGATGACCTATACCAGCAACCCCAGCAGCCAGAGGGACCGCAGTGAAAGTGAGAGACTCCGAGTGAAGTGAAGACACGGCAGCTGGGACCCTTGGGTGAGGCTGGGCCGTGACTCCGGGAGCTTCTCAGTGCAGGGGAGAGTGGTCTCCCAAGTTAGACCTCAGCCTCCCCATCTCTGGCTGATGCCCCAGCAGCGCTGGACATTCCTTTGAAGACTCTGGAGTCCACTCGACATCTGGGTTCAATCATCTTACAAGTAGAGCAGGTGCGGGAGCTGAGGAGGAGAGGACAACTCCTCTCCGATGTATGTGGGGCTCTGGATCTCTGGGATCCTGGGTCCTGGAAGGTGAGGACTGAGACTTCCAGTGCGAAACCTGAACTCCCAGGTCCTACAGAGACAGAAGCTGGGACCTGGAATCCTGTCCCGCTGAGTGTCTGGCCACTTCCAAGTCTCCCTGGTGCTCCAGCTGCTCTGCCTAACGCTCTCCACCAAGATCCTGGGGACAATTCTCGTCCAAGGGCAGGGCAGGATGAGGGTGGGGACTCCCTGGTCTATTTCTTCAACCCAGGGGTCCAGGTTAGGGAAGCAGAGCGGCTGAAGGTGGGACCAGGTCCGTGAGAGGTTTCTAAGGCCTTCTCGGTGATGTCCCCACCTCGGACAAGGGGAGGGGATGGAGGAGAAGCGAGAGAGTCTCTGCCTCCTCCTGTCCTTACCATCCCGCCTTCTCTAAGAGTGGGGTTTCCTCATCTTCAGATGGAGTTAAACCCAACATTGGCTACCGAGAAGGGTGTTCCTGGGGCCCCCTGACAGTAATTCCACACAGTAGGTAGACAACAATTATAGTTCTTTTTGGCTTGGCACAGTCCCCAAGGCCTGAGCTCCTGGGAGCATCAACCAGGAATTAATCCAGCTGAATACAAGTACAGGTAAGTGAACAGAATCAGGGTCTCCGGGGCCTAAGAGAGGGTTACCACGTGGCTTGAGTCCTCAACCCTCTCTGAACTTCAGCTTCCTCCTTCCATGAACTGGAAGCCCAGAATACAGGGACGATAGCACCCGCTGTTCAAGGGGGACAGTAACACTGTAGGCGTCGAAGTAAACAAGTCTCGGGGCCTCTATTCGGAGATCCAAAGCCCCTACTTCTCCTGGTCTGGAGGCGATGAGGCTACGGAGGGACTCAAAAAGCACAGAGGAGGGTGACTCCCCCACCACCACCACCACCAGGGTGCACAGTCGGGCTTTGAACAGGAACACAGGTGTGCAAACATGAATCCGGCCCGTCCACCTCCCCAACAGCCTGCCCATGCCACCCCTGCCCCTGGGACTGGACATTCGTCCGAGGCAACTGTTATCCGCCCCCCCCCGCCACGCATCCAAACGGAACTGGAGTGACTCGGTCACCGCCTGCCAGGAAGTGGGTGCTTAACCACCCATCATCAGAAACGCGGAGCAGCAGGTACCTTGGGAAGCTCTGGACGTGGTTTGGGACACACACAGGGCCTCTGGCCTCTGGGGAGGAGACAGTTTTTCTGGCAAAGTTTTCTGGACACGGGGCTGCTCACTCCATTTGGAAAAGGAGAACAAGAGCGCGGATGAGGGCGTCCCAAGTACCTTGCAGGGAGATTACAAGCTCTAGCACGAGAGAACCCTTCGGGGGAGGCTCAACTGTAAGCGATCCCTAGATGTATTAGACATAAATTCTTTACCAACTTCCTTGGTGGCAGTTTCCACCATGGCTGAGGTCAGTCTACCGATGGGACGTCACGCGGTGTGGAGCTGAAAAGAGGTGATGCGCGTGACCAGCCATTGTGAGCCGGTGTGATCACGAGCCTCGTGGCTAGTGAATTTGAGTGCACAGACTCAAAACATAAACATAAAAGCGAATGGCATCACCAGGTGTGTGAGAAGCCAGCTGTGCGGGCTCTGCGTGCACGTCAGGGCCTATCTGCCCATCGCATGCAGAGAAGAGAAGACTCGGGCCTTCCGAGCTCATGTGGGAGACAGTCCACGAGCCGGTTCGCTGCAAGGCTGAAATTCGTACTGCAGGGGCTCAGTGGTTCCGCCTCCTCCCCGTACAAAAA